ATGGAGAGCCCTGTCTGAAGGGGCAAAGGAATCGCCTGGAAACTCCAGGCAGCAGAATGCAAGTTTCTCACCACCCTTGTTTTTTGTTTTAGTTTTTCTTTCATTTCCTTATTGGCACATCTGTGACTTTCCATTCTGTGCTTTTTAATGAGGGATGCTATCTCCTCTTGTCTTTTCACAGCCCAAAGGCGCCGAAGCCAAACCTGGAAACAAAGGGAAGAAACCGTTGGGTCAGGGTCCTGTCCACATTACGGCAGGAAGTGAACCTGTCCCCATCGAAGAAGAGGAAGAGGATGATTTAGACCATGCAACCTTCACCATTGTGAGTCTTCTCCAGGAACCCAATGGGGAAATGTCCAAGAGGGCTGGTTGCTGACCCCAGAAAATGTCCCTTTGACTCAGTTTAGTTATGAAATCAGCTTGCCTCTTCTTTATGAAGTTTCCATGAAAGTTAAAATGCCAACTTAACCAACCCCCAAAGATTTAAAAATAGGGAATGGGGATCAAATGGGGGAAAAGTGGAAAACTGAGAAGAAGAAGAAAAAGAAGGGGGGTGGGGAAGGACACAAAAAAAGACTTCAGACTTTCTTCAGGTCAGAAACAAATAAACAGGTAAAAGTACGACCGCAACTGAGCCCAGACTTTATGTTTGTTAAGTGGGAAATTAGCTAAGTGAGTTTTGCCCCCATTTTTCGACCTTTCTTGCTACAGTTGTTAAGTGAATCACTGCAGTTGTTAAATTAGTAATACGATTGTTAAGTAAATCTGACTTCCCCTTTGACAGAAGGTCACAAAAGGGGATCACATGACCACAGGGCAGTGCTACTGTCATACTCTGGATTGAAAGAAAAATATTCCTCCACCTTAATGAATTCACCTAAAGAAAGATGGGAAATCTCTCGCATGGTCTCCAAGATTGTATGGCTTCCCCAGACGAGTGTTATATCCGATACTCAAATTTGGGATAGCTTTTGCTTCCTTGATCTTGCCCAGCAAACTGGGGCTTGATAGCATTTGGCTCCAGATGTTTCTTTGAAGACTCCTGTAGCTGTCATTTGGAGAGGGTGCCCACAACAGACCCCCTCCCCCAAATTCAAATAGGCCCCTACCCTCAAAAGGTGGCCTCAATCAGGGTCTCCCTTTTCTTCACCTTCCTTCTGCGATTAATGCGGAGCTTTGCTTTTTCTGCCTCCCAAGTGCAAAGAGCTGATGAGGCCAGTTAAGAAGTCCCTGAAGCAGCTGGATAAGCCAGAAAGAGGACTTAATGACCAAGACCAGCTGGAGCAAACTCGGAGTTGCCTGCTCAAGATAGGAGACCACATTGCTGAATGTTTGAAAAGCCACACTGAACAGGAAGTTCTTAACGTATGGAGAAGGTGATTTGCCTGCCCACCAAATTTTCAATCTCTCTCAGGGATGGAGTTAAAAAAGGAATCAGCCTAGAATCTCTATGTAGCCACAAGTCCAATTCCTGCTGCAATGCTACAAATGAGATGCAGTCTCCATTTGTTGAATTCCCCTCTGTGGAAATATGTTAGAAATGTGTTAAATATGTTAAAACAAAATCCACATTTTAGTCCAAACTCCTAGAAAACCACAATACAAGCATTCTCAGTCGGAAAGAGAAGCAGCAGACTGGGTCATGCCATGCTTAGATCAAAATCTACAGACTTTATCTTGGGAGTCTTCATGACTCAAGTTTGAAGCAAGACATTTTTAGATGCAGAGGGGGTGTAAGGGGGGATTTGGGGGCTCCAGAAGAAAACATCTCTCCATCACTGCTTGTTTGGGGCATCTTTTTCTTCTGGCATGAAAAGTTTGCACTTCTGGCCCAGCTCCTAAAAAGAGAAAATTAGAATATCTATTCACCTTCTTTCAGGAATCTATGGGTATTTGTCTCCAAGTTTACCGAATTTAACGCCAAGAAATTACATAAGATATACAAGATGGCTAATAAAAAGCGATCCCGGGAACAGGAGGTAAGAACAGAGGTGTGTATGTGTATGTTTGTGTTATGCAGTAGAATGGAAGGGGTGCAAATATAAATAAAAAGGAAGGAAAGGGAACATCTTGTGGAAAAGAAAACCTCAGGAACTAGAGGAATTCTGGTTGAGACTTTTAGGTGGGACTCTGCTTTCCTTTTCCTTTCTTTTTTCTTTCTTTCTTTTTCCTCCTGGCTCTGTCATTACTGTCCTAAGAACCAGACATTTGGTTGTTGAAGAGAGGAGGAGAAATCCTATCTTTAGGAGGGGTAGCCTTTCAACGCTCTGGGGACATAGGTTGGGGATCAAAGCCGTTGAGTCTTCTGGCACACTCCTTGATGGGAGTGCAATTCTCTGTAAGTCTCCAGCACCTTTTGCTGGACTTGGCCTTTTAGTAATCAGCTAGAGTAGAGCTGGAAGGGACCTTGGAGGTCTTCTAGCCAAACCCCCTGCTTAAGCAGGAGACCCTATACCATGTCAGACGAGTGGCTCTCCAGGCTCCATTGATGGAGTTGCATTGCTTTTTCTTCAAGCTGCCTGACAAATGCAACTGTGGGGGTCCCTGGGGAGCCAAAAGGGGCTGGCCTAGCAAACCTTGATGATGAAGACAACTCTGGTCACAAATGAAGAAGCCTTAATTTGGCTTTCACTTTTCTTTCTGTTTGTTTATTTAACCCTTTCCTCTAGAAGAGGCCCTCCAATATTCTCCAGCCAACTCCCTCCTTCCCAGATCCTATTTAATAAGACCCAAATCATTGTTACTGTTGGCCTTTTGAGTTTTCCCATGATGATGTCTTTCTTCTCAACAGGATCATAAGAAGAAGGAAGAGACAACGAGTGGCAAGCGGCTTCGTCCAGAAACTCCAGGGCCCAGTCGAGATATTCCGGTATCTCCTGTCCCCCATAGCCCTCATGGTCAAAAGCTGCAGCAAACATCTCCCCACCCTTCACAGATGCATGGACATCCACGAGAGAACTACAACCAGCCAAATAGAAGGCATTTCAGCCATACAGGTGAGAGATTATTAGGCCTGTCCCAGCTTGGGCATTTAGGAAAGAAAGACTCTCGTCCCCATTTGCAGTCAAGTTGCATTTTGTAAAAGGCAGGTATTTACTAGAGCCAAGTGGTTACAGTGTAAACAAAGCTAGATCTGAGGGTTCCTGCATAAACCTGGTAATTTTGCCTTCTCCCTGGTCATCTTGTTAATGTCCAATGTGAGCCAAACTAGTTGTTTTGGTAACAATTCCCAGAATTTGGTGCCTCTTTGGTGGGCATTCTCATTCCATTCCCATGCCTCTGTCCTTGGATCGTTCAACCATTGTCTCTGGTTGGCACTTCTACTTGCAGTCATTCCCCTTCTTATATTCCCCATGTTTTAAGGCAGGCTGCCACCAAAGCAAAGCAGGGCTGAAGAGGTGTAATGGCAGATCTGCCAGAAAAACAGAAAAGCTTTGCCCTTCTTCCTGATGTCCCGTCTAGCATCCTGAGTTGGTGGAAGGTGGCAATGCATGATCATCCTTGGTCCCCTTACTGGCACCACATGGGCTACATAGTTCAAGGGCCTCTCATTTTAACTCTGTATGGGAAGTTCCTGCTGTGGATACTTTTATTATTGTGTTCCTCCTCTTTCTTTTTCTTATTCTCTTAAAAAAAAGATGATAAAAATTAAATGAATCGTAGACAAAGGCAGAAGTACAGATAACAAAGTCCATGTGAATAAGATCCTTGGGCTTCTTGTGAAAGAGTGCTAGCTTCTTCCCCTTCCTTGTCATGCAGAACGAAGCGAATGGCAGAGGGATCGCAAATTTAATTACAGTGGCAATGCCAATACAAATTGGGGCAGAAACCGATACCATCCATACGAGCAGCGCTGGCACAAGGATCACCACTATACAGATCGCCAGGCACGCAGAGAACAGTATCGGAGCTCAGGAAACTACCAGCCCAGCAACGTCTCTCGTAAACGCCCCTATGATCAGTACAACAGTGAACGCAATTACCGCGGACAACCAGACTACAGGTGAGGTGCTAAGCAGGCCATTCGGCTGGTCTGTGGGTCTTCTGCAGGAGTCAACATGCCAAAGGTAGGGAATGGTGTTTGTCAGCCAGATCATAGAACGAAGATTGCAAGGACTCCTAGATCTGTAGGGTTGGTAGAGTGTAATAACGGACCCTTGAAAGCCTGACCTCCCTGCCCTCCTACACCCCAAATGCCCAGATGGCGTTATTTTGAGTCTCTTTGAGTATTGCGAATGGTTGAGGGAGGTAGGGACGCCTGGCCTATGGGTGAGAAGTAGGAGCTCCTTAAAAAGAGATCCAACCTAGAAATAAGGAGAGTTTCCTGACAGCAAAAGCAACTAGGTGGCTAATAGCTCGCCTGCTGGGCTTGTGGGTGTTCAATCGGTAGAACCTTTCAAAAATAGGCTGGACAACCATTTGATTGGGATGGTATGAGGTTTGGAACGGAGATTGCAAGGACTCCTAGAACTGTAGGGTTGTTAGTAGTAATATTAATAATAGTTACAGTAATAATACTCTAATAATAATAAGTTTGGTTCATTGACATTGCAATATCTGGTGATGCGCAAATTGAAGATAAGCAGCAAGAAAAAATCACAAAGTACCGTGACTTGCAAATTGAAGTTCAGTGAAAGTTGTGGAAAAAGAAATTGTGTTGTCCTGATTGTAATTGGAGCCCTTGGAGCAATACCTAGAGGGCTACCTCACTATTTGGAAATTCTAAATTTATCAAACTTGAACATTCTGATTCTACAAAAAAACTACCCTACTTGGAACAGCTTATATCCTCCGACATTACCTTAACAGTTCCTAGGTCCTTGGTTAGGACTCGAGCTGTTGAGTTACCAACCAGCCCCAAAGGGTGTGAATCTCACCAAAGATTAAAATAATAATAATAATAATAATAATAATAATAATAATAATAATAATAATAATAATTTATAAATAAAGTATTTGTAATGCATTTTTGAATGTTCAGTTGGCTGAGTTTCATGTTTAATGAATAAAGTATACAATAATAAATAAATAAATAAAAATATTAATTTTGAAGTTAACATGTTAGTATTATCAGACAACATTTATAATCCTAGGTGATCAATCAGATTTCCCATTTGTCTTCTTGAGCCACATAGTCAACTCTTCAGTTTCAATTGTAATTCCTGGTATTTGTAATCCACTCTACTTAGAAATCTTCAGAAGTCTCACAATTTGTTCCCCTCCAGGCGTGAAGCAAACAAGGATAAAACAATATGCAAAAAGGTAGTCTTCCAGGTGTTGTTCTTATTTGCTCTCTTTTCTGCTTTGTCAAGCCTCAGTTTATTGCAGTTATTCCCAGCCTTGTAAATATATAATATACATCCTTTTCACCAGTAGATGACACCTTCGCCTAAGATGTCAACGTTACACAAAACCTAACAGCTGATTGCTGTTGTGATTTTCTTCAAACAATTTCTTCCAATAGTCAAAAAAATATTCCCTGCATTTTAAAATGCCTTTTCAAAATATTACCAATAAAATATTCTAATCCAGTCTTTCTATATTTTAAAACTTTGTGTTGTCCCCTTAGGTTTCACTTTCTTTCAGGTTTGTAATCTTTCTCTGAGTATTTATTCACCAATTTTTTTGCCACTTTAGAGAATCTTTCTTTCCAAATTTCTTGTCTTTGGGATTGAATCTCTAGCATAGAAGTTGAAAATCACCTCACCCAGTTCCAGTCCACTGTTCGTAAACCGCTCCAGCACATTTCTTCCTTCTGTTGTCCCAGCTTCATGGCGGCCATAATGGCTACCCCTCCTCTTTATTGTTGAATGGGAGAAAGCCTCGGATCAAGCAGAAGATCCGCCGCTCTCAGCAATCTGCAAGCTGCCCCTCCTTTCTTCATCACCTCTTGGGTGACTTTAGCCCCTCCAACAATGAGAATTTGGCCTGGGTTCACGGAGCTCTGCTACCCATGAGTGTCCTGCAGTGACGCTGAACCGGACATCTGGGTCAGTAGGGTCTAATAATGGAACCTTGAATGCCTAATCTCCCAGCACTCTTACATCAACAACATTCAGATAGGGTAACTTTGAATATCTTTGATTATTACAAATGGTTGAGGGAAGGAGGTGAGCTTGCTAAAAAAAAGATCCAATCTAGAAATAAGGAGAACGTCAGGCTTGGAAGCCGTCAGTGTATAGAGAAATTTCCTAACAGCAAAAGCAATTCAGCAGTCAAATAGCTTGTCTGCTGGGGTTGTGGGTGCTCTTAACAATCTCGAATTCATTCATCAGAGGTATCTATGCACCCCCTCAACCACGTTCTAGATTTGTATTGTGAGTCTGCCTCTTTTTGTAAGTGTATGTGATATCATGACCCACAATACAAAGTGTGTAGGCTTGGGCTCCAACTCTGCTCTTGTCCATCTTAATTCCTTCCTCTAGTGTCCAGATACAGCTGAACTGGGCTGACATTCCTGTTCTCTTCCATGCCTTTGGCACCAGAGGGAGTTTAGCCTCCCAAGATCTAGATACGGTCATTTTTGCCTCTTCTGTTGAGTTGAATGTTTTGAGTTCTTCTTCTTTCCCCTCCAGGTACTGCCATGAAGGCAAAAGACGACGGTTAGATGAATTCCGGCCCCAGAATTACCAACAAGATTATCGGAGGATGTCTGACTATAGACCTCCCTTGAATTATCATGGGCAAGGGCCATCTGACCATTACAGGCCTTTCCACCCAGACAAATCGGCTGATTACAAGCAACTTATTCCTCCTCCTCACTCCCAGCTTCCTGATCCTCGCTCTCCACCTTCTCAAAAATCTCCGCTTGGTGTCAAGTCTCCCATCCAGCATCGCTCACCTCTGGATAGGCCCTTAGAGCAGAAGAACAATCCAGATTATAACTGGAGTGGCCGGAAAACCTAGAGACCCAGAAGCAGATGCAAATGGAAAGAGCTAGTCCGGCCCGAGGAAACACCAGTTACAGGGCCATCAATGCCGGAACCAGAAAGCCTGAATACAGTGCTGTAGAGCTTTGGGCTGTAAGAATTGGAAGTGGGTCAGATAGATCCACCAAGGGGTCTGAATTTTAGCCCCAAATTTGCCTGCCAAATTGGGAGTGGTCTTCCTTGCGCCAAGGGACCTCTAGAAAACAAGTTCAAGTCTACCCCCTGTGTTTTGGAATGAAGATTTTGTGTTTGTGTCCATAATGCCAACTTGAGTTCTGGACATTTCATGGAATGGACAGACAGGCTGCGTAGGATACAGAAGGAGGCGAAAGCTACATGACTTTGGAGTTGAGGTTCGATTTGCTGTTGGAAGGGGATGATAGAGAAGACCACAACAGCTACAGCTATTGAATAAAAAATTGTCGTCGGGGAGGGCAGGAGTGAGACTGAATTACAGAATGGTGAAACCAACTTTTGATAAAAATGCCTGGAACTCTTACTGAAGACTGCAGAGACTTGGAAGTCTATGGACTTAAGATGGCCAGAAAAAGAAACAAAAGAAGAAGAAGGAATGGTTTATGATCTGGTCCCTCCTTTTCTCTTCTCCATGCTTTTCTTTGCCTTAGCAACTTTTGATGGCACTACATGAACAAAGTAGAGCTGTGGACAAAGAACAGTTTTAAATGGTGGCAGAACTTCCATTTCCATGGTTGTGAAGGAGGGAGAAGGACAGTATGTCCGTGGCATTGGGGGACTTCAGTATTCAAAAATTGACCGTGGAGCTCTTTTTCCCCCCTCTCCTTCTCCTCCTTCTCATGACCCATGGGAACACCAGATATTTGGCTTGGAGAAAGGAGCTGAGAGAAGGGTCCCTCTCAGACAGGATTCCATGAACATCTCAAGATGGTCAACTTAGCACTTCTGATTAGAAAGGTCAAAAACTCCAATGGCTTCATCCATAGAAAGGAGACATCAGTGAAGTAAGCAAGATGAAGGAAGCCTCTCGTTGAATGAAGAGAAACATGGAGTTTTGTCCCACAAGGAAATTTTATACACAGGTGGCAAAAATCTGGGTCATAATTATTCTTTGATGATCTTTCTCAGAAGCATCTTCACAAAGAAAAAAAAACGCAACTCCGACAGATATATCCCCCCCCCCTGAAATGTATATGTATGTGCAGATGTCTGCACTTAGCTCCAAATTCCTGCTTTTGAAAATGAAATGGCCAAATACATGTTGAAAAGTGGCATCCCTGTGTTTAGCACTTTTTAAATGAATTTTGTGCCCCCGGCAACAATCCTGAGCCATCATTTTTGATATTCCACTGCCAAGTCAGTTGTTTAGTGTTAATCTTTATCGGTGAAATAAGAAGGAAAGAATCAGACCAAGTGTTTATCTTTGAAGTTTCTAGATGGGTGTTTTTCTATGTTGGTCTACTTGTGTCCTGAGTGTGTCATACACGATTCTTCTATTACATCTCACCTGTTAACTGTGGTTGCAAAAAAGGCACTACAGAGTTTGTTTTAAGGTCCTTTTATTTTCACCCAGGGTGGTTGACTAAATGTGAATTCCAAATATATCCAACAGGAAAGGGAAGCCACAAATTCTTGTTACTTAATTAAAACAATTCTTTCACTCCTTAGCATTGAGTAGGTTCCTTAATTGTTACTTAATTAGAATAGAATTAGTTAGAATAGTTACTAGTTCACTCCTACATTTCCTATAAGGACAAAATATTTTGGGGGTGATTGTTTTCAAGGGGCTACTTTCAATTTTTTTTGATAGTTTTCTTAACTGTTACTTAATTACAATAAAATTAATTAGAATAGTTACTATTTCACTCAAAACGTCTGACATGTTCCCATAAAGGTAAAATATTTGGACCGATAGTTTTCAGGTGGAATACTTTCACTTTTCTGATATATTCTTTAATTGTTACTTAATTAGAATAGTTGCTATTTCGCCCCTAAGTTCCCATATGTTTCCGATTGTTACTGAATTAGAATGGCTACTGTTTCACTCCTAAATTCCGCCCTATTCCTGTAAGATTGAAATGTATTTGGGCCCCATAATTTTAGGAGGGGATATTTTTGCAATGGAATTGTGAGCATTAGATGAAATAATAAATCCAGAATGTTTCTATGTTCTCTTGCCTGGTTTGAGAATTACAAAATGTTGGTGGGAGGGTGAATTCTGGGTGTGTGCCTAATTTGATGAATTTATGAAGGTTTATTGGAAGATTGAAGGAGAAGATTCTGGCTGTTGTTTGGTTTCTACCAGTCATCCAGCTAGCATAACCCTACTCAATTCGCATTCACACACACACACATCCAAAGATCTGGGGTAGAAGAACTTTAGTGCATAAAGTCATGGACTTAAAGGGAAAATGAAATCCCTGTGACTAAATACAGTAATTAATATTAATTTATATTTGTGACAAAGGAATTTGCCACTGTTGAAGTGATTTCCGATGTAAATATGTTGTTTATAAAGTATGTATTAAATTTTTTCTATGGTTAAGCTCCTGTACTTTGGATTGTTGTACATTAAAAGTTGAGTTTTTCAGAAATTGCATTTTTTGGCTTTCGTCACCCCTCCCCCCAAAATAATTGTCCCTGAGTCATTTAACTTGACAGTTTTCTTGTTTTGAAAATATAGAAGACTTTTATTACTTCAGCTTAAAAGCCTGATTCTAGATAGTAAAAACAAAATCTTCCTCAGTCATTTGTTCTTATTCTTCACCTCTTTTTTTTCATATTGCTTGACATTTTCTGGATTTATTTTTTCTTTCTGCTTCTGACATCAAATTGATCTCTTCTCTGAAAAGTATCCCAGCACTTTGAAAAAGATCTCAATGCAGGAATTTGAAATGAGGCCAAATGGTACGTGTGACCTAAGATATTCCTCCCCATCACAAACTTAACTGAAAGCTGATGACACATTTAAAATATATATATTGATCTTTGTTTTTCTGAATTTGGTAATTATTTTGGCAGCAAGGTGAGCTGGATTTTACAGTGAACTAGCCAATTCAACAAACACAACAAAGATGATCTGGTTCATATCATATTTTCATCCTAAAGATTGCATCAACAGAAATTCAGGACTGTGTTTCTGGAAGAAAAATAAATTTATTTGCAGCTTTTTCAAATCAATAAATAATTTACAATATTTATATCATAACACCCCATACAATTTCCACATACATGCAATATGCTGGAGGCAGTGTGTTTGTTATATGCTTTCCCTGTCTTTATTCAGATTTTCATTCAGAGCCTCTGGGGTCTTCATCGGCTGAATTCACTCAGAAGCCAAAATTTGACTGAAGATAATAAAAAATAAAGTGCTTTGTTAATTAGAGGTTTAAGAAACGATATCTGGGAAACGGTTTTAGAGCTCACCATAATTGAAGAAATAAGTTGAAGAGAATGAAAGATGACAGAAAAAAACCTCCCAATTTGTTACATTTTACTGTTTTCAAAAATTTTGATTTATGAAAGAAATGCTAAAATGAAATGCCATTTTGATAATGGCCAGTTAATTTGCATTAAAATCCCCCTCTTCTTGCAGTGACATCATTGATTGGGGGTTATAGGAGTTGTAGTTAGCATGGGTTGTGAGGTAAACCATTTTTGAGGAAAATTTCACGTGAAGGGTGAGTTCTCCTCTTCATTGCAAACAGGGTGATAACTCAGGTTTCCATTGCTGAATTGTATAAAATCATCCAAAGATTTCCCTATATGGTTTATCCAGTTCCCTAAATACTACTCAAGCAGAAACATTTTTTAAAAATCGCAGTGTAGTTCTTCTGTCACAGCTTGGAAGAAGCCATAAGAGATAATTGATGGAAATTTGGGGGATGGGGGTGATTCAGAATTGAATGGAAATGAGTTCCATAGGTTTATCCAAGTATTTATGAATTATGAAGGCAAGACAATCTTCCCACTTCACAGTCATTCATTCCTGGGATCTCCCTATCTAGGATTTTTATGCCAAGCCACCTTTCTTGAAATGCCATCAAAATAGGGTCAATGGTAATAAAACCTGGCAACCAGGCACTGTGTGGAGATCATGCCCCCCCCCTCCCCGTATTACCAGGCTCTAATGAAATGAAAACTATGGCAGCCAACCTGGGACATCTGAATACTGAATCAGATTTCCTATCTTTCTTTTCCAAATGTATTGGGATATCCACCTACGATCACAAAGGCCACAGTAGAAATCACCTGTTTGCACAGAATATCACCTGCTTTGTGATTTCATTACAGATGCAATTTGATAGTGATGTATGTGGTGCAAGTTTGCAATAACTCTCAGAGCAATTGCAGTTAAAACTTTAGAAGGTGGATGATTGTAAGCCTCTTGGTGGAGACAACACAGGAAATCCTCAACTTACAACTTAGTGGCCGTTCAAATTTACAGCGGCACTGAAAAAAGTGACTTATGACCATTTTTCAGTTACGACCTTTGAAGCATCCCCATGATCATGTGATCAAAATTCAGATGCTTGGCAACTGATCCATACTTAAGGACCGTTTCTGTGTCCCAAGGTCATGTGATCATCTTTTGCAACCTTCTGACCAGCAAAGTCAATGGGGAAGCCAGGTTCACTTAACAACCAGGTTACTAACTTATCAACTGGAGTGATTCACTTGACAATTGTGGCGAGAAAGGTCATATAATGGGGCAAAGCTCACTTAACAAATGCCTCCCTTTGCAACAGAAATTCTGGGCTCCATTGTGGTCATAGATCGAGGACTACCTGTACTGGGAGATGAACCATGACTTGGCAGACATTCTGACCTACAATTTTAGTGAAATCACACCACTGTTTGCTCATGGTACTTTTGAGCTAAATGTGGGCAGAGAGAGACATCCATCTTGACTTCTTAGGCATCTGAAAATGTGAGAAGAGACAAGCAAATATCTCCATCTAGTGGCTACACCATTGTGTCTTTTTGCTGAATGGGTACTACCCAGTGGTGGGATTCAAATAATTTAACAACCGGTTCTCTACCCCAATGATTTCTTCCAACAACCAGTTCATCAAACTGCTCAGAAAGTTAACTGGTTCTCCCGAAGTGGTGCAAACCGGCTGAATCCCACCACTGGTATTACCCAGGGTGAAACTGGGATGAAAAGGGCAGAATTAGAT